TTAATTAACAAACGGAGACGTAACAGTATTTTAAACATGCAGTAAAATCAAACATATATTACTGTGCTGTTCATAATTTTCTAGAGGCTGGAGATAAAAACTTTGGAAAAGTCTAAGTCATATTTTGGCCAGAAATGAAAAGCCAAGTGAAAGCTCAATGAAAAATTAGAGAACTAAAAGCCAAAAACGTTTCACAAAGTTTTGAGTCAGAATAAATTTTGTTGGTATGTGTTAGATATCAAGGGATTTTGGTACTGCTGAATTTGTAAAGATGCAGGAAAAAGCAATGCGTATGCTTGTGGGCAAGAAAATTTTGCTAAAACTACAAACTATGATTGGCATTCAAAATGTAAGTTTAAAATAAAAAATTAAAATGCAGTTCGTTTAGAAAGTGACCTTATTATTTTCAAAAAAGACATTATTTTGTTGAATGAAATTGTAAAAAATGAAATAATAAATAAAATGGTTTTCTTAGATTCAGAATAAAAATATTTCAAATTATAAAATATAGTTATAATTATATAATGCTTCATATTGTATGTACACACATCCCCCACACATGTAATGGAAATAATTAACCCCCAAATAAACAACATTTCCTCTATTAAACACTGTTTTCATATGATGAATGCACTTGATACAGAAATGTGGTCTCCTTATTTTTCAAAACTTCTCCCTATTGACACCTGGAGAGAGAGATTATTTCTCCCTGTTTTGAGAGCAGCTTGATGCCGACATGTCTGTCATGATTTACCATGCTTCTGGAAATGGTGTCTTGACCTTTGACCTCTGATTAATTGCTTGTTAGTTCAAAAATAGTTTTTTTTTCGACATTATAAGTATATCAAGTCTTTTCTACATTATTTTCGTGTGAGAGATGTATTCGTATTATATTTTATTTCTTTTAGCTTTATATTTTCATTTCATTTCTTCACTTTATTTCTATTTATATTTAATTACCTTTGTTTTTTCTCTTATCTTTATTTATTTACTCTATTTGTATTACTTACTTTGTAGTCAATTGTAGATCCTAGGCTAATTTTGAAATTTCTTTTTTTTTATTTTTTAATTTCTAAATTTATTCTCGTACTTTGTTTTAATCATTCCCTTCATCTGTTCAGTTTCCATACACTGTAATTCACTGTCTCAGCTACATACTTTCCATTTCATGTTTTACTATGCTCTTCCATGGTAGTAACTGTAGAGTTCCATGAAGATCACTTAAATAATTTTCATGTTTAACACTTCTTTCTCATCCTAAGCTCATTGCTATTGAAGAAGGTGATCAGGGGATTTAACATTTAGTATTTTATTTATCTTGATTTTTCACAGTATGTTGCTGCTTTTGCTGTGTCAGCTCTAGCTTCAAACTGGGAAAGACTTGGGAAACCTTTTAATCCTCTGCTTGGAGAAACATATGAACTGGTTAGGTAAGAAGCTTTTCTTTTTTTGCTTTAGTGATGAGTAAAAGATGACAATTTTATGTACTGAATTAGTTGGTGAATGCTTTAATGGATAATTTCTACTTTGAAAAGTTTTGCTATTTTTCATTTTATTGCTCTTCAGATTATTTTTAGTTTTGATAGTATAATAATTGAAATGTAAGCTCATATAATAATTCTAAAATTCAGCCATTTGTCTCATTTTCTCCTTCGAATAGTTTCATGTTTGCATTTCTTTTAATCTGCATTTTATCCGGTAGTTGGAATACTTCTACTTTTGAACATCTTCAGTGACTTTGCTATTAATCTGTTGTTCATAAGAGTTTAATAGCATGTGAATGAGAAATTAAGTTTATATGTTTCTAAACTTTAAACAGACACATGATGTTTCTTAAAATTGTTTTAATGGTTGTTGTGTTGAGCTGCTCTTTAGGTTCGTTTTAATGGAATAATAAAAAACACGAAAAATAACTTTTATTTCTACATTTAGAAAGTTACCTGTAAACATATTATTAATTTGAATTGTGTAATAATTTAAAATATAATATATATATATATATATATAT